GGAGAGTTCGTGACTTCTCCAATACAAGATTATAACCTGTTAAATTTCCAATCTCCTGTCTTGTTCTACTCTCCAGACCCATCTTAGAACTGATATGAACATCATCAAGCTGTACATCAGAAATGATCTTCTAATGAATCTCAATCTCTAATACCTTTTGCAAGTTGGAATCTGTACTGACGCACTGGCCCGGCCATGAGCTACGGGAGGTGGAGGGGGAGAGAGAAGTTTTGGTTGGATGGAGAGAGAGAGATAGATAGATCAGATATAGAGAGACAGAGAGAGAGAGAGAGAGAGAGAGCAAAGAACCAGGTTTAAAGATGAGCGTCGGAGGGCGCAGATATAACGTTCATGAAGAAGGGGAAGAAAGAAAGAGAGTGTATGTATGTGTTGAATGAGCCGAGATAAGGAGTAGTAGTGGTGGTGGTAGTGGTGGTAGTCGGGGTAGTCGTAGTAGTCCTAGTAGTTCTAGTAGTCCTAGTAGTCGTAGTGGTGGTGGTAGTCGTAGACCGGAGAGCAACAGGAAGATCGTGGAGAACAGCAGCAACAGGGGCCAAGAGATAGGCACACACAAGGGTCGCAGTGGATGCGCGTTGGCGCAGTTGCTGGCGTTGGCTGGCGGATGAGACAGTAGTAAAGGGCGTCTTAGCAGAGTCGCAGAGGATGCTTCGGACTTGACTGGAGGCTAGCACGCGACAAGCAACGAGGAAACTGGAGACCAAAAACTGGAGAACTGGCTGGTGGCTGACAATGCTGGAGATGGGAGCAGCTAGACTCTACTGGAGACTGGAGACTGGAGACTGGAGACTGGAGACTGGAGACTGGAGAATGGAGAAATAATGACAAAAGACAACCGCAAAAAAGAAGGATGGATGAGTTTTCTCAAGCAGCAACAAAACACACGCTTGTGACTGGACACGGCCGAAGTAACAAACGGCAACCCGTCGAAGCTAACTAACTAATAACCAACTAACTAGCTAGGAAGCCCGTTGTCGTGTCGTGTGGGGTGGTGGTGTTGGTTGTTAATCTCCAAACATGTAGGCAGTGTATCATGTATGTATGTATGTATGTATGTATGTATGTATGTATGTATGTATGTATGTATGTATGTATGTATGTATATGTACATGTATCTGTACAGATATTAATTAGGTATGGGGAGGGAAAAGTCAATGGGGCCAAACAACGGGGTTGGTTGGGAAATGGTATTCAAGGAAGAAGTCTCTAGCCGGTAAGTTACTCAGGAGTCAGCAATCTCCACCTGCCGCTAGCCCATGTACGGTATAACTAACTAGCTTCCCTCCCTCCAGCTTCGGGGTTAAAAAAATGCACAAAAACTGGAGAAAAGAGATGAACACTACTGTACGGAGAACAGTAGTGTGTATGTTAATAACTAGCCTCGCTTACCCCAAGTCATCAATTCAATATCATCAAGCATTTACTTATACTCCGTAGTTAAAGAAATTATGAATAATAAGACCAACCAGCCACCAACCAACTCCTCTAAAACATCAAGAGAATGAATGATCATTATCGTAAAGTATAAATGTCAAGGTTCATGCAGGTGATAGAAGCCCCTTCCTTCCATGGGACAGACTGTACTTGTACTTGTACTGTACTGTCCTGTATGTCCTTGTCCTGTCCTGTCCTGTCCTGTCCTGTCCTGTACTTGTACTGTGCTCAACTCCGGGGGGGGGGGAGGGTGAGTGGAGAGTAGAGAGTGGAGAGTGGAGAGTGGTCCCGTATGGGATCCTCCGTACTCGGCTTTCTATTGGCGGGGCAAACATCGCGGCGGAAATTAACAATCTCCCCGGGCTCTGTTCTATTGGCTGGCTCCACGCTATTCTTATCGTCTTAACGGAGTAATCTATCTATCATATCAATGATCTATGCAAGTGCTTGCTGCGATGTTAAATTTAACAAGGGAGGAAGACACGGCAGGCATGCATGACGGCGCTTTTTTAATTATAGCAGCTACTATGGGGGAACCGGCTTTGTTTCTATTTCGTTTCTTTTTCTATATTCTATATTCTATATTCTTGTTCTGATTATTCTGATTATTCTGATTATTCTGATTATTCTTACTTATTAGACAGGATCAGGATCATGAAATGAATATCTTCAGCCTGCTTATTATTATTACGACAATACAAAGCTAAGACCAAGACTGCTCACTGTTCAACTGCTCAGGTGAGATCCAAAATTTCCTTCTTTGGGTAAGCTCCCGCGTACCGAAGGTACCTGTGTAAGGACATACCCCGGCAGGCATGGTTCCTTGGTACTGCAGCTCTATTGTCTCTTTCTTGTTTCTTGTTTCCCCAGACCGCGCCTAAGGAAAGGAAAGCGAGAGAAGAAGAGAGAAGAAATGAAAGAAATGAAAGATAATAATAATAAACACCCCCTCATCCCAGCAGCGTTCAACGACCAAAAGCAAAAAAAAAAGGGGGGGAGGGAAGAAGAAAAAAAAAAAAGAAATCAAACCCGCTCACCGAAAGCTCTCAAGTAGAGTAGCCAGCCAAGCAGCTTGCTTCTCCATGCTAATAAAATATATACGGAGTAATAATAATATAATATTATCCCAAATCTCAAATCTCAAACCTCAAACCTCAAAATCCCAAACGTCTCAAGTCCCCCGGGCCCAGTCCAGTCCAGGCAGGGCAGGGCCCCCTTCCCTTCCCTTCCTTCAGGCGCAAGCTGCTACAAAGCTAATTCTTTTAGCCTCCAGCCACAACTCCGCAAGCGCCGAGCTAGCCTAGTTAGCCGTCTTGTGTTGGAACTTGGGTGTGGTGTCAAGCTTCCACCGCAGCGTTGCACCGGCCTGTTGCTTGTGTTGCTTCTGAAGGGTTTTTCTACTAAAAGGAACCGCACCGCAGCAATGCTGGGGTTACATGCTACGTTCAACTTTGGGGTTATATTATTATTTTAAATTCTTGTATATTTGCGGGTTGCGCGGGTGCGCGGGTGCGGGTGTGGTTGTGGTGGTTGTGGTGGGGTGGTATTTTGTATATCATGCCAATATCATATCATTTATCATACAACTTCATGCATTCTCATGTGTTGTGTTTATTCATGTATTCGTTTATTCATGTATTCGTTTATTCGTTTATTCGTTTATTCGTTTATTTAATAAAATTGCGTCCCATTCTCTTGTTGCCACTTGGAGCTCAACAACAACAACAACAACAACAACAAGCAACATTGAAGGGGTGTGTGTGTGTGTGTGACATGATGTCTCGCGGTTGGAAAAGAGTCGGATTCTTATTTTGCCTCCCCGGATCTTTTCTCTCTCTCTCTCTCTCTCTCTACTCCGTATACAGAGAGAGAGTAAATAATTTTTACCCCATTCTCGATGATTTTCGCACAGGATCGCGCATCAGTGATTGTTCAATCATTGGCTGGCTGTGAACTATTATTTCAATGGCTTCTCTCATAGGAATAGGAGCTTTACTTCTTTGTCTGTTGTCAACCTAATCAAACAATTAACCAACTAACCAACTAACCGGAGTACTCCGTACTCTCTTCTGTACATCTGATGTGGATAAAAATAAATAAATGAATCAAAAAAATGACTTCAGGTTACTGTCGCGGTTACATCTCATTGTTTTCTTACCTCTCTCTTCTCCTCCTCCCCCCCTTTCTCTTTCTATCACTTTCTTACTTCACCTTCGCCTACTATAACTATTTCTCATCTATTGCAAACCAAAGCAAACCACCCATTTTTATTTCAAAGCAAGGTCAGGTGTCAGCTTGAATAATCAAATGATATCAAATCATAGATCCACCAAACAATAATAAACATCAGCAATGGTAAAACAATATTAATGATAATTCTAATAATTCTAGACCCTGCACTGTTGCCATGCCATGCCCATGCCATGAGTGTCACCGACCGCTGTTAGTTCGCTGTTAGTTCGCGGGCATCAGAGTGACCGTGCATCCATATTCCCTTCCATCCTACTCCGTACATACATCCATCCATCCATCCATCCATCGCCGCATCATCATCATCGTCGTCGTCGTAGTAGTAGTAGAAATCTCCAGCGAGGATTCTCTGCTGAAGGATCCACTTTGATCATACAAGTAACATAGCCATACATAGCCATACATAGCCATACGGATAATAATAAGATATCAAAGGAGGCGTATTTTACTGTAATGTCATGACGGGACCGTCCCTGTCGTATCTGTGATACCAGACGTAAGTTACAGCGGGACGTACGGGAGCTGTATCATTTGTGTCTGTTGTCGGTGTCAGTCACCGTCGGGTATTCTTTATTTAGTCTATTAGGTTTTGCCAGAGAGAAGCTTTATTTAGGGCGATGATGTCATCGTTATCATCGTTAACTATTCATTCCAAATAAATAAATAATATCGTTGAATCAGAAAAGCGAAAAGGGAGATTTGATTGAATAGAAAAAATTATTTTACCTTCTCTTGCTGGTTTGCCCTGTTGAAAGGAAGACCTTGCTTGACCTTTTGACCGTTGAAAAATAAAATAATAATAAATAATAAGTTAACGAACCACCAACTAACTCCGAACAAGGGCAAGACACACTACGGAGTTACAACTAGTTAACTACAACTACATCGCCGCGCCAGTGCATCGCATCGCTACATTGGACTGTACATGTACATGTCCTGTACACTCTCACACTCACCTTTCTACTGATTATTGGTTTCGTTCTCCCTTCCCTTCTTCTTCTTCTTCTCTTCTTCTTCTCTTCGGGCAACTCGGCTGCGCTCCGTGACCCACGATGATCCCACACCAGATAGTTACATAGTAAGTGGTAATAAGTAGTAGTAGTAGTAGTAGTAGTAGATGGAGAGAGTTTCGGTATCAGAGCAAGAAGTGAGTGAGTGGAAGGGGAGAACACGAGGGTATCTTTTTCTTTTTCTTTTATTTTCTTTTATTTTTTCTTTTATTTTCTTCCCTTAATAACCTAACCATTAGATAGAACAAGGAAGAATGAATTGTCGTAACTTCGTAACTAATAAATAATTATTTTTTTCCCTGAATTCCGCCCCGTCATAGTTCATCTTTTCCCGCTCGGGGTGCTGCTTCACTGCCCGCGATCAGCCGTTTTATTTCATTTTGTCCATTCAATAATAAAATAAAATAAAATAAAATTTATTAGTCTTCGATTGAAGCTGTAACTAATAAGTGTGAGAGTGAATATTGCTACTTACTGCTGTGGGCGTGGAGACAATATAATTAACAACATCGTATGTCTCTCTCTCTCTCTCTCTCTCTCTCTCTATCTATATACACACCCCCCTCTTATTCCTTCTATAACTTACTTCCAGAATGTTTCTTCTGTATATTTAACCAAAACCCACTCATCAAATCAACCAATATCCTCCCCTCCATGATATAGATAGACACATATATCCTGACCCAATCAAGAGCCAAACTGACTTGACCCTACAGAAAAAGAAAAAGAAAGAAAAAAGAAAGAAAGAAAAAAACCCATCTCCAACCCAACCATGCCCTCCATAGTCCAAACCCCCGACAGCTCCCCGCTAACCCCGCGCATCACTAAATTCACAAACTGCCGCCTCCCGCTCAACGGCCAGCTCATCGAGCAGGATCTCTGGGTCGATTCCGCCTCCGGCAAAATCCTCCAGGACCAGCAGGCCTTCTACGAGTTCCAGCTCAGCCCGGACCAGACCGTCGACCTGGGCGGCCGCATCCTGGCCCCCGGCTTCCTCGACGTGCAGATCAACGGCGCGAAGGGGTTTGATTTCTCCGTGCCGCAGGCGACGAGGGAGAAGTACGATGCGGGTTTCAGGAAGGCGTGTCTGGCGCTGGTGAGGATGGGGGTTACGTCGTTTTTGCCGTCGGTGACGAGTCAGGCGGCGGCGGTTTATAAGACGGTATGTTGAAACATGGAAATGGAAATGGTAGTGGGATGGGATCGGATCGGCGAAAACAAGGCTAAAACGGAAAGAGGAGGTTGGGGGGGGGGGGGGAGAATTTATATATATACGATTACTGTGTTATATAAATGGGGGGGGAAAAAACAGAAGCTAAATCATGAATCACAGGTCCTACCATCCCTAGGCCCCTCTGGCGGATCCCGCCGCGCGGAGGACGGAGCGGAATCTCTCGGCGCACACGTCGAAGGGCCCTTCCTCAGCCCGGGTAAAAATGGCATCCACACCTCCAGCGTCCTCCTCGCCGCCACCAACGGCTTCCAGGACTTAATAGACTGCTACGGCGAAGAAAACCTCCTTATCCCCCAAGATGCCTCCACCCCTACAACCGCCTCCGCCTCCGCCTCCTCCGCAGTCTCAACCACCACCACCACCACCACCACCAATAATCCTAATAACAACCCAAGCCCAAACATAAAAATGATCACCGCCGCCCCCGAAGTCGGCGTCATGAACTCCCTCATCCCCCCGCTCACCGCCCAAAACATAATCTTCTCCATCGGCCACTCAGACGCCACCTACGAACAAGCCCTCGACGCCCTCGCCGCCGGCGCAACCATGATCACCCACCTCTTCAACGCCATGCGGCCCTTCTACCACCGCCACCCGGGCATCTTCGGCCTACTAGGCAAGCAGTCCCAGCAGGCCACCCGCCCCTTCTACGGCCTAATCGCCGACGGCATCCACCTGCACCCGACCAGCATCCAGATCGCCTACCACGCGCACCCGGCGGGCATGGTGCTGGTGACGGACGCGATGAAGCTGTGCGGCATGCCCGACGGCGTGTACGAGTGGACGAACGGGGAGCGCATTGTCAAGAGCGGCGCGCTGCTGACGCTGGAAGGGTCGGCGGAGGGGAAGATTGCGGGGTCCTCGGCGACGCTGATTGAGTGTGTGAATAATTTTCGGAGGTGGGCGGGCACGGGGGTGGTGGAGGCGGTGCGGGCGGTGACGGAGACGCCGGCGCGCATGCTCGGGGTGGATGGGGTCAAGGGGGTGTTGACGCCCGGGGCGGATGCGGATTTGGTGGTTTTGGGGGAGGATGTGGAGGGGTCGTTGACGGTTGATCAGGTTTGGAAGTTTGGGGTGAGGGTTTTTGATCGGGAGAAGGATGGGGAGCGGGAGGAGGTGTGAATGTGGATGCGAGGGGGTGAAAAGGAGGAGAGCTGGGAGGGAGAGAGGGGGCGGTTTTGGATGTTAGCCTCCCACCAGGCTCTGCATATTCCTCGGGGAAGTTGCTGCTCTGTCTTGTTTCATTATGTTTGCTTTCATGATCTATCCGCATGGGATATCTTTCTCCCCCCCCCCCCCCCCCTTTTTTTTTTTCTTTTCTTCTTCTTTGCACTGCGAAGATATATATTTTGCCATGATTAGTTGATATACAGATTGAAAAATAAGTGCCCTAAAGAGTTTTTGATAGAGATATTATAGATAAAAACGAGTTCATTCATGTACAGTACGTTTTACATATATAGTTGAATACCATTTTTTCTGCCTTCCTTGAACCCCCTTTTACTCTCCCTTTTGTTTATATTGCGTGTTTTATCATGAGAAGCAAAATATATATATATATATATATATTTATCTACAGAGTATAGTAAAGCAGATTTACTTGAAAACCCACTCTTTTAATATCTTGACTTACAAAGCTATTCATTATGTTACCCCTTATTTTGAATGCCTTCCAGGCTCAACCCACCAACACGCGGATATAAAAACTGCAGTAAACAAAAAATAATAGAAATACTCTCAGGAATTCCACGGCCTGTGTATATACTCTGTGATTCTTACTTCAGTTACACTTTTGCTGATTATGCTTGTTATGTAAATCAAATTGTCTGCTTGATGTATTGATATATATATATAGATAATATATGATGGCATTCTTCCAACACTTGCATTCACCTGATTTCTAATTCATGGAATGGTGAATGGTGAAGAATTTCCTGGCTTTGAAACTCCTTTTTTTTCTTCTTTTTTCTTTCTTTCTTTCTTTCTTCTTCTCTACTCGGCCGTTAAATATCATGATAGCATCATTGGTGGGGTGTTGTGTTGCATGCATGGACAGTCTCCCCTACTAAGTTGCTCTCTACTCACGAACACATGGCCTACTTTCTCAAAGCCTGATGATATCAGCATTCATTTCGCAGCTACTTTCTATATCCTACCCGCCTCCCCTGATTATATTTATATTTCCTATGTATTGCCCAGTTCCCCCGTCTCTAGATCATCCGGGGTTCAGATTCCGTTTTAATTCACGCTTATGCACGGTACATGGTACATTGGACGGCCAGAAAAGGAAGCCTCAGTAGAAGAAAAGAGAGCCAGATATATTTTTTTTTTGGCGAAAATTAAATAACTGTAACAATTATAAATAAACTAATATAAAAATATAGCAAAGCTAAAGCTTAAGTAGTTCTTTCTTTTTTTTAAAAAAAAAAAAGTTGTCAAACATCCAAGTGGTCCCCCGCCCTAACAGCAACGCCCCCTTGTTCGAAGGCATCGAGTGATGGCCCATCGGATATTAAAAGCTAACGAACAAAATAGGGTGAAGGGGGTGTGGTTGGGTGTGAAGGGATGAAGTTGGCGTTTGACAGCCGCACTCGAATGGAACGTAATTAAATAAAAAAAGAGAAAGAAAGAGAGAAAGAAAAGGGGGGGGGGGGGGGGGGTTTGCAAGCGGAAAAAAAAAAAAAAAAAAAAAAAAAAAGAACAACAAAACAATATAAAAATATAAACGATCTCTCTTTCTCACACAAAAAACGTTTATCCCTTCGCATCTCGTGAAAAATTTCAATAACAAAAAAAGGCCAGGTCGAGTTAGCTAGATAACCAAATCAATTCAGGTCCATTGTCCGTCAACATCGAGTCCGCATATGGGAAAACGGGGCCGCTAGGCGCAAGGCGTAGGCCCGGGGGAAAGAGAGAGGGGAAAACAAAAGAATCCAGCGTGATGGAAATTTCTTCCGTCTCTGTCTCTCCTAGCCTGGGGCTTCCTGTTTCCGGCTGCGGGGGTTGCGATCTCGTCTATACATTGAGCGTGATGGGAACGCATCCGAGGAAGATAAGGCCGTTCTGGTTCCCCCCGGGGGGGGGTGTTCGATTAGTTTTGGATATATACAAACATATAGTGCTAGGGAAACGCTCACCATCTTGTTGTCAGAGCAGCATACGGCGTTGGACTTGCAGCCATTAAGTAGGTCGAGATTCAAGACGCCCGTTATCGGCTTGCCTAATTTTCACCAGAAACATCCCATCAGTCAGTGGTTCTTCCGCCTGTATCCGGGCCCCCCTCCTGTGAAATGAGAAAAAAAGGGAAATTAAGAGAGACAACATACATTGAGTAGCAACACCACCTTTCGCATTCTTCGCCTCCTTGTCAAGACCAAAGATCTTCAGGCCCTGGATGACGGTCTTGTCGTCGCTGGACTTGTGGCTCTGGCAGCACTGGGGGACGGAGTTGCAGCTGGACGTGCCACCCGAGCGGACAGCCAGTGGGGAGCCGACTTCACTACCGCTGTGGGGTGGGAGCGCGACGGCGTTAACCACGGTGCTGATGAAAGCGAAGGCGGAGAGGAAGAGTTGGAGCTGCATCTTGAGTGTTTGGCTGGGGGTTGCGGTGGAATTTTTTTGTGTTTGTTTGGGGGGCCTGTCGAGACTGGGAGGGAGGGATAAAGTTGGTTGAAGGAGTGGAAATTTGTAGGTGATGAGGATAATGAATAATGAGAGTGTGAGATCTTTTGGATATTTTCTTTTTTGTTCTGTTAAGGACAGGATGCTTTTGCTTTGCTTTGCGGTGGAGACGAAGAAGAAACGAGGTTTTGGGAGGCGGGTGAAGCATCTTTATATAGATTTCTCCGCACCCTCGCTCACCCCTATGGATGCTTCTCCTGACAGCATATGGCCGTAACTTGCTTGGATAGGAGTGCGTGTAGAGAGCGTCCTGAGACCTCCCCCTTTTCCCGTCAAGTGTCCACGAGCCGTGTTGCGTGCAACCTAGCCATCATCTCGAGCAGACAAACAGAACGATGCATGCCGCTGCCCTCCCTTGTTCAAAAAACGCCTTGTATGGAAATCAAAAATTGGAGTAGTGCAAAATTGTCAATCCCAATTCGAAAAACAATAAATAATTGATATCTCGATCGCCGGCTTCTTCTAGCCCCTTCCGAATGGGGAATAAGGATATAGGAGCAAAGCAAATACCCAAAGTGCACAGGGGTACTGACTGTACCATCCGTGCCGGCTGTGTACTGTGCACAGGTAGGTACATTACCAGTACTGTAGGTTCCCGCCGAGCTGTTTGAGGAGGAGAAGGGTGGGCGATACACAGAGAGGCAATGTAGAATGGATAGCACAAGATCGAGTTCGATAATAACAATAACAACTGGTTTCAGGATAGCAGCAGGAACCAATAATTGTGGTTAATTTGGAAACTGAGTCGAACCAGTTTGAGTTACTGTGGCTCTGTGCTGGTCGGTGGTATTATCGATTGAGCTGGCTGTGCATGGCGTGTTTTGCACAGGTTCTGTATGTACCTGCATTTTGTGTTAGCTTTGCTTGCTTGCCTGCCTATCAATTTTTTTTTTTAAAAAAAAAAGAAGCTTCATTTGGCGAAAAAAAAAGGAACGTTACTTGAAGTTTAGGGGTTCGGTAAGAGTTCACTAGGTTCATGCGAGGGAGGTTGGACGGGCAATATCCGACAGGTGTGGAAACCAAACGTCTGACAGCATGTCTATAGATTACCTAGGTAGATGAGGATGGTTTCACGGACGAAATTAAGGGCTAAGTCAGAATTAAATAGGCCATAGCATCACTGACGAGGGAGAGATGCGGGAAGAGATGCTAAATTGGTTGGAAAAGCGTGGTTGAAAAGGGAGTTTGTTTATGACTTGACTTGACACCATCAGCTTTCGTGAAGGTGAGGAGCATTGAAGGGGAAGAAAACAAAGTGAACTAACTAACTAGTTAGTTAATCGAACGATGTGTTCGGCAGCCCCTGGTCTGATGGGCAAACAATCATGTTCCTCACGTAGGACAGAACAGCCCAACCACCCGTGAAAGCAGAGCTACCCTGCCCCCTTTCTCTGGGAGTGTCGTAAGCAGATAGCAGATTTTATTGCTCGATATATGTCTGATAATATCCAGTAATCGAAAGGCTAGGACGCAGGTTCATTCCCCTAAGGTTGGGGTGTGTCAACAGAATAAAACGAAATCACCGTATAATATATCAATGAAGCCAGCGAATAAACTTCTTTTATCACTTTTAAATTTCCTATCTGGCAGTAAACCCAAAATAATGTGAGTATCCAGCACATAATTTTGTAAAAGTTAGTATAGATAAATCAGTAAAAGCGAAATATCCGCCCACACCAGGACCAGACCAGATCCGATCAGATACCCGAAAATGAAACATCATGGTGCCCAGATGTAGATATCAAGAGGTAAACATGACCAAAAAAAATGGCCAAAAATACACATATATTACTTATTAGGTAAAAAAGAAATAAAATGAAAAATAATCACAGTTTAGGCGCCTCCCTTCTCCATCCGGCTTCCTCAGCAATAAGTTCGGCCGCCCGCTCCGCAATCGTCAACACCGTTACCATCGGGTTAACAGTAGGCATAGTAGGGAACACGCCCGCATCCGCAATACGAACCTTTCTCAATCCCCTAACCTTCAATTCTGGATCAACGACCGCATACGGATCATTCACCACATCGCCCATCTTCGTCGTGCCCGCCGGATGGTAGACGGTATGCGCTGCCCGTCGTCCATACTCGCTCAACTCCTCGTCGGTCGTGAGGTCAGGCCCCGGCGCGACTTCGCGCTTAATCCAATCTTTGAAGGGGGATTGCTGCGCGATTTTGCGGGCGGCTTTGAAGCCGGCGACGATCGTGGCGGCGTCGTAGCCTTCTGGGTCGGTGAAGTAGCGGAAATCTAGGGCAGGTTTCACGGCTGGGTCGGCGGAGGTGAGGTAGAGGCGGCCGCGGGAGCGGGGACGAGGGATGTTCGGGGTCATGCAGAAGGCGTTCATGGGGACGTCGTAGCCGAGTCGGGCGGTGTTGACACAGAAGGGGATTTGGTAGCAGTGCATCATTACATCTGCGGCGTCGCCGTCGAAACCGGCCGCGTTGGGGGCCTCGCGGCGGAGGAAGATGCCTGCATCGGAGTCCATGGTGGTTTGGTTAGGGGGTACGGGTTGGTTGAGTTCCCAGATGATGATTGTTTCTGGGTGGTCGAGGAGGTTTTCACCGACGCCTGGGATATCCTTGACGACGGGGATGGACAGGGGGGCGAGTTGTTCCTTGGGGCCAATGCCGGATATTAGAAGTAGGCGTGGGGTATCGACTGAGCCGGCACAGAGGATGGTCTCCCGTTTGGCATTGACGGTGAGTTTTTCCCCAGATTTGAGTGTCACGTTGACTCCTGTTACGGTATCATCCTTAACGTTGACGCGCGAGACCCAAGCGTTCGTCAAGACGGTCAAATTGGGACGTTTCTCGTCTCCACGGATGATGGGGTGGATGTAGGCAACACTCGCACTGCTTCTGCGGCCATCCTCAGGGTTGTATGAGATGGAGAAGAAGCCGACACACTCCGTCAATTTGCCCTTTTCACGAATTTCCTTGTTGAAGTCTTCGATCACCGGGATACCCAGAGCGGTGGAGCAAGATTCTACCCAATCCTTGCAAAGTTGGTTGCGGTGCCGGAGATGGACGGGCTGGATGGTGTTCCGCAGGTTATCCGCAAGGCGAGTGAAGGTTTCGAAGTTCCAGCCTTTGCAACCCATACTTTCCCAAAGCTTGCAATCATACTCAAAAGTCCGGAACGAGATAAGGGTATTATGGCTGGAGCAGCCACCAAGCACCTTGGCGCGGGAATGGCGGATATAGCTATTTCCTACAGAAAACGAAACGGAAAAAGGTAAGCGGAATACCAATGTAAGCACTGTACAATACTCGTTGAGAAAAAGAGAGGGGGCGCCACTAATGGAGTGGACAAACCAAATACAGGGGAAGGGGGGGTAAGAAAAAGGGGTTCTTCAAGACATAATCTTGATCGCAATCTGAATCTGGGGGTGTAAATGCGGGCAAAATCGCTGGACTGCGTAGCAGCAGCAGCGGGGGCCAGAAATAGAACTTACCCATCGGTTGTTCTACAGTTCCATAGTCGTAATCAAACTCCTGGTCGCCGAGCAAGCTGAGCCAGTCCTTGAGCAGGAGGATTCTGTCGTCCTGGTAGTCGCTGGGACCAGCCTCGATAACGAGGATCCTCATTCGAGGGAGATATTCCGCCAGCCTGCTGGCGATGACACAGCCAGCTGTTCCTCCGCCGACGATGACATAGTCGTAGCTATCGACATCAGCTGCGGAAATAGAATCTGTAACTGTGGTTGCCATTTTGTTTTCTTTCTTTCTTCTTTCTTTCTTTCTTTCTTTCTTTTTTACCGTTGGGTCTAGTTTTCCAATTCGGCGTTTATTCTATTATTAATTGGACTCGTGTTGAACAGGTTTTCGAGATCCGTAGACGAGGGCGGGCTTGTTGAATGAGTTCAATGCTCAACAGTGGAGAATCAGAACAGTTGAAGAGAGAGAGGCAAGGAGAGGCGTATTGCGATTCTTGCTTGGCTTTACTTGGTTGATGTTAATGCCGGGCAGAGACGCAGTCTAGGGTCTATTGATCTTTGATAGATACATAAGAGAAAGCTGAAGTCGAGTTGTTCATCTATGACAACATGAAAGAAAGGGAAGACGTCTTCCTCTTTTCTCCTGACAGGAAAATAATTGGGAGGGTGGCGGCTGAGCATTTATATATAAAGGCGGCAAAGGTAAAATACATAAAATTTCCCCCCATTCTTTTTCGAAGTTCCGGCGATTTCCCTTGCTTCGGATAGAATTCAAGTTGACTGACATCATGAAATGGTTTTTGTTCTCTTTTTTTGGTTTCTTGCCGTCGAAGTCAGTCCGAGGCTTATACGCAGCGAGCCAATGGCGAATCGGGAAATTAGGGCTAGCTGGATGACTCAGCAGTTTTCCCGTCTCGGCGCCAAGTAACCCTAAGCCCTAACTGGCAAGGACGGTCTCCTCTCAGTCCGCCATATGCCGCTTGCCCCTGCGCGATGACATCGATGGCACCAACCAGGAACCAGCTCAAGAGACTCCAGAAGAGGACGCCGCAAGGGGGGAATTATTAGACAGATGAAGCGGTCAGAGGGAGAACTGCTACTCACTGCACTGTCCAACTCCAATGGGCGATATCATATCCGCGTGCCGTTTTATTATGCATTGCAGCTGAGTTGCGATACGATACTGTGGGTTAAACCAGCCGAAGAACCCCAAACAGTGGGATGGTCTATGGGTTAGAAAGTAGAAAGGGTCCTTGGATCTGAGGAGAAAAGCGCAACCCGTACATAGTAAATAGTTATATCATACATATTAAAAATACGTATGGACGAAGAAAGGTTAGATAGAAAAAGCCGTTCTAATCATTTCAAACTGAGAATACAAAAAGAAGTAAATGCTGCGTCCAATACAATCCCACCCATAAGAGGACATCGGAGAATGGGGTAATTCATAATCATATCTATCCTGTTGCACCCTTTTTCTATATCTTATGATCGTTTTGTTTTTGACTTGCTAAAACACACAACCCAACCCAACCCAAACCCCCAACAAACCTCAACATCTCTCAGTGCCCACATGCCAATGTTCTTGAACGGTAATACCGACCGCCTCGCTACTCTCCAAATCGCTCCTGTCAAGCCGACTAGACGCGGGCTTCTTCGCTGTACTCACCGCCGCGAAATGCTTGCCAGCAACCGGCCTCAGCTGATTCTGCAAGCTGTCGTCATTCAACTGCTCGAAGCCACGGCCACCGCTGGGTCCGCTGCTTTTCGACGCGCCGGTGGTGTTTGATGGCAGGATACCCGGGTGTGCCATCAGAGCCGTACTTGGAGCGGTTTAGTAGGGGCCGTAGGAGCGGAATGCAGGATAGGGTTACGGCTACGCTGGGTTCGAGGCCGGAGAAAATGTTTTGCTGGGGGAATTGAGACGGTGATGTCTTTGAAATCCATGGAGGAGATGGTGTGTATGCGGACGGTACTGACGACGTAGGTTCTGTGGGATTTAATCGAGTGGTTAGTAACAAGGGGGGAGGGGGGGGGGGGGGAGGAGGGAAATATATATATTTTGATTCAATTGGGTAGACCGAGAGGCCAAAAAAATATCGAGGGGGGGAGGGGCGGGAAGGCATACAGAAGACCAATGCTGAATACGCCAATCAGGATCACTTTTTTGTACAGCTGCATCTGCAGTTTAGCCAGGTACGGTAAGGGGAGGCACAGCAACCAACACGTCAGGGACGAGGTTGAAAACACACCAGTGATGGTGAATGAGAGGACCTGGTCACCGCACTCCCCGCCAGGGATTGACTGGTCCCAATTGTACGCGAAGAGACGGCAAATGGTGCAGCCCGCAATAATGGTCGCGATTGCCCATGCAGCGATGAATGCCATAGCTCCTCTTCCTATCTAGATAACGGGAGCGACAGGGAATACCCTTGAGTATAGTAGGAGGATAGACACTTTGTAGAAGCTTAGGCTAAGAACCCAGAGGAATTGAAGAGGGATGAGAAGCTGGATCGGATGTGTTAGCTAAATATTCTTCTAGTGCTTGTCGATATGAATGGTGTTTCAGGAGACGATACGCTTCTCCAAGGATTATTTACCTTCAGAAGCTTGGGTACGGGTTCTGGTCCGGATTCCTGGATGACCTGTATCGTGTGTCCACATCCAATTCCACCTTGGATAACGCCTATACGGTGCGTGTTGGTCAGCAAGTGACTGCTCGAGTTGCTGCCCGATACATTAAAGATCAGGTATGGATGTACGGGTGCTGTAGGGGCGGTGGGTCTGGGCACACCTACCTGTGATACTGACGGATTCCAACGCCACTGCAAATATCTGCCATAGAGTTAGCGGAGGATATATGATGACAGCTATCAGGACAAATAATCAGACCCTAGATTCACACATGCGGCAATGATACAATAGTCAATTGCTTCGAGCGATCTCCTCGCAACGTTTCGAGCAAGTATGCGCAGAGAAACGTCCAGCGTTGGAATGATGCTGTCCGCAGTTGCTACGCCCAGAACTGACCTCTGATCAGCTGTCACGATAGGGAATAGCGGTGCCTTGGACGGCGGTGGAAGTCCCTCCATATTGAAGTATTCTATCAACGCTTCAAACCACCCGAACAGACGCTTCCTGGCAGTGAAGTATGTAAGCCACGGTGGGGCAGAATAACAAAGGAGTGAAACACGACTGCCTGAGGTCGTCGGGGATGGGTCCCCCCTTTCTAGGGTAGTTGTGTAGATATAACTATATATATCCAGCTGCGAAACTCCAGTAGGGCGCTGAAACCTGGGGTGGGTTGATAAAGGGATATGGGAAAAAAAAATCTCCCCGTCTGAATTTCACGGGGTGTGGATTTGGGGTCGTTAGTAGCGGAAAGTTTTTGGACTATTTTGATAGAAGCATGGATATGGATTTTCTGTCGATCAAACGGGAGTTTGGTTGGCCAGAAGGCAGTCCATCACATTTTAACTGTGGTCTGGTCCTTTTTTGTTGTTTTTGAATCATGTTGTCAGCCCTTTAAGGATTGAAGCGACTGACTAAAAATTGATTTTCTTCATTAAATGTTGAGAGAATTGATTATGAGAAGATATCTCTGGGAGAGAGGCCAAGGCGGGATCGGGATCTCAACTCCACAGTTAACTTATAAAGTGTAGGCTACTGGGGCAAAAGAGCTCGGTCACCACCAGCGCACTGCTGGTAGAAGGGCCGACCAACCGCGGGACCCCCAACATAAAGTTAACTTAAGTTACATAAGCCAGAGTGAAGCCTGCGGAAGAGGGGACGCATTTCCAATTATTATTAATTAATTGGTCTGCGGTCCGGGAATGGCGCCAGCCAACGACGAACTGCCGAAACTCTTCCTTCCGTTGAGCGCCCGTCCCGTCCCGTAGCCCTTGCCTTGTGGCTTCAGGTGGCCATGAAGGGCCTTACCGAAACACAACAACAATAATAATAATAATAATTCTGCTCTCGCCAAAAGTATGAGCGGTGGCAGAGCCTATTAATAATATTATGGACGGATTACTCACGGTGTGAGCAACAGAGGAGGGCTTGCTCGCCGCCAAGCGATCTTCAATCCTCAAACCATTCTCTAAAGAAAACCCTTTGCACGTAAAAAGGAGGATGTCGATGGATGTTCTTTTATATGCCCCCGGTAGGTAGCACTCCTCCGATGAGCAACTTCCAATTGGGGCCAGGAACATTTGTCAATTGAACCGTCTTCATGTGAGAGTAGCAAAGGTAAACCTGGCAAGGGAAAAAAGAAGTCAGGGAAGAAAGCAGGGGGAAAGAAAATCAGCCAATCTTAGTAGGAAATATTTTTCGCAGGCATAACTAATAACTAGTTACGCTAATGAACGGCTGCTGCAGAAGTTCGTCCCCACCCCAGGGAGGACCAGCCAAAGCCCCGGGGGACGAGCTAATTCTGGAATTATTCTGACAACGCGCAAATATATATATCGCAGTGTGCACTAAGAATGCGTTTCAACCTGGAGGCCCTTATTCAATTCCGATAATGGAGTTGTCATGACCCCAGACACCCGAAACAGCTAATTACAAAGTGTATGCGGGTAAAACGACAGGCCTGTGATTCCCCGTGCTTTACAGAGTACATCTCCATAAAATAGATCCCGCCGTTCACTATCTGGAAGCAATGGCAGGGTTGAAGGAGCTCACGGACTTGAGCAGGCTGCAACTCGCTGGACTGCTTGTTGTGACCGTCGTTACTATTCCCCCATCAGTGACATTACAGGACCGTTTGGGGCCAGTTTCACTCGGCTGCATACCCATCGCATCCTCAAGGGAGACCAAAATCTGGAACTCATTCGGTTACACGGTGAACATGGTATGTGTTCTTCGACTTTCTTGTAGCTGTCATGAGCCAACGTCTAACCGAACTGACACCAAAACAGGATACTTTGTTCGTGTGGCTCACAATGAGGTCAGCGTCAGTCATTCCTGATGCCATTCGCAAAATCCTAGGAGCAACGCTTCACAAGGACAAATGGTACAAGATAATAGCCTTCCCAGATGGCCGTTTCGAGAACCCCATGTCCGCGACGGACCCCAGAGTGAAGATGGAGTTGTCCAAGCACCTTGCGCCTGCCTATACTCTCTCCAACCTACTGGTAAATGAGAGGAACATCAGCGAAACCATCGAGCTCCTGCTGGGATGGCTGAACAAGTTTGCTTCTTCTGGCGACCCAATCGATCTGGGTAAATATTTCACCCTCGCCCCTTTAGACATTGTAGGCGACGCTGTCTTCTCCAAGCAATTCGGTTTCTTGCGCGAAGGCCTCGATATTAACAACAGCATCGCCAACGCTTCGCCGTAGGCTGCTTACGTTTCCGTCGCTGGCTACTTCCGCTGGCTCCACGTTCTATTTCTCAGTAATCCAGTCATCACCTGGCTGAATATTACGCCGTGGGGCCACCTCATTGACACAGCAATGTCGGCTATCAAGGAGCGTCGGAAGGACCCAGATGCCCGCGTAGATGCCGTCGCTCACTGGTTCCGAATGCTCCATCAATCCCAACCGTATGCAGCTGCACGAGATCCACAGCGCCGCCTTCAACGCTGTCGCAGCAGGCAACGAAACCGTCGCCTCTGGGCTGCAAGCGTTCGTGTACTATGTGATTCGTCACCCAAACGCTTGGGGGCGTACGAGAGCCGAAATCGAGACCGCTGGCCTTGAAGGCCCTGTGATCGGTTACATGGACGCACAGAAATTGCCGTTTTTGCAAGCGTGTATTAAAGAAACGCTTCGGGTATTCGGACCGGCGCCTATAGTGCTGCCGCGCATTGTGCCCGAGGGCGTCCTGACAATTGGTGACCGGACTATCCCACAAGGTACCATTGTGTCTATGAACATCTGGGGTATGCATTACCTTTGGGCCCCAAGTGCTGGCGAATTCAACCCGGATAGGTGGCTAGGTGAGGATGCAGCGCATCTCTCAAAATATTATATTCCCGTAAGTAATCATTATCCCATCCGGTATCCACGAACAGAAAAATGAACCGGATAATTTCCCCAACTAACACATGTCGCTTATGCAAAACAGTGGGGGATGGGCTATGCTTCCTGTCCCAGGCAGAACCTTGCGCGAATCGAGCTGTACAAAATTTGTGCAACGCTTGTGCAAGACTAAACATCCGGCAAGTTGACCCGAAGCAAGAATGGACTTGGAAGGCTTTCTTCACTGTGGTTCCGCATAACTCGCCGTGCTATATCGAGAGGCGGACTAAGAAAACCACTTCCTAGGTGCAATACATGTCAGCAGGGATGCCTGGATGCACAATTCTCCACACTTCTGCATTTATGATAAACGTTCACACTTTTCCTACTTCTGTTAGGACACTCCTCAGGTCCCATTTCTTTCTCTCCTACTCTCTCTCACGGACACGACCTTACCAACGTATAGCCTTGATCAACTATCTCCAATGCACTAGTAGTTAGTATAATATATACCACATAGTTTATGTATTCAATTGAATTACCCTCGTAATACATTTGATCAACCCTAGACAGAATTCCAGAGAGGTAGATAGAACATTCCTCTATTAAGTGCATTATTCTTAGCAGGATTCATGTTACTTCGCAACAGGAGGTCTTCGTTGCCATTTCCGGCTATTCATGGCGGTTCCAGCCACGTTTGGGTCATACGTCATCCCACGTGACTTTCTCAAGGTTCAACCGCGATATAAAATTTAGAGCTTCACATTATTCGGGGAGACAGGAGACAATAACGAGTGGGGAAAACAAATAGCCTTCCATTTTTAGCTAACATTTTGTCACATTTTGTAGAAGTTCAGTCGCTCCTTGCGGGCTGTTAAAAAAAGTTCATATTGCTGAAAACAATGTCTTCCCTTCCTTACACATGCCAACGTCTATATTTCGACGGGAAAGTCCAGCAGTCCAGCTCTGGCAAGCGATTCCAGTCGATTGACCCCTCCAACGCTTCGGTTCTCGCAGATATTGAAGTTTCGTCGAATAGAGACGTCGATGCGGCCATTGATTCGGCCCGGAGAGCTTTCCCTGCCTGGTCCCAGACTCCGCCTGCCGTGAGAACCAGAGTCCTCCTGCGGGCTGCCCAAATACTTCGGGCTCGAAACGATGAGATCGCCAAGATCGAGACACAAGATACGGGGAAGCCGTTCTCGGAGACGAGCACGGTAGACATCGTTACTGGGGCAGATGTGCTTGAATACTTTGCAAACCTGGTGGGCGGAGGAGGATTGAATGGTGAAACCATCCAGCTACGGGACGATGCCTGGGTATACACGAAGAAAGAAGCCTTGGGCGTGTGTGCCGGTATTGGAGCGTGGAATTATCCCATTCAAATGTAAGCAGAAAAAAAGAGAAAAAACAAGCAGCTGTAAATATATCCAACATATTCAACATATTCTAATTTACCATTCTTTCTCGGTCGCTGTTTCCAGTGCTCTATGGAAATCCGGACCCTGTCTAGCTGCTGGGAACACCATGGTCTATAAACCTAGCGAGTTCACACCTCTTCATGGCCTAATCCTTGCACAAATATACACAGAAGCTGGCCTGCCTCCCGGAGTCTTCAATGTCGTCTACGGCGCCGGGGATGTGGGTGCATACCTTACCGCCCACCCCTCCATCGCCAAAGTTTCCTTCACCGGCCAAGTGTCCACGGGGAAAAAAGTCGCCGGCTCCGCCGCCGGTAACATGAAATATGTAACGATGGAACTAGGCGGCAAAAGCCCGCTAATCATCCTTCCAGACGCGGACATTGATAACGCCGTCGACGGCGCCATGATGGCCAACTTCTTCAGTACAGGTCAGGTATGCACAAATGGAACCCGCGTCTTCGTTCCCAAAAGCATCAAGTCCGCCTTTGAAAATCGCCTACTAGAAAAAATGAAGTATGTCCGTGCTGGAGCACTCATGGACCTCAACACCAACTTTGGGCCTCTCGTCTCGGGCCCCCATTTCGAGAAAGTCATGAGCTACATCCGCCATGGCATTGAGCAGGATAAAGCCAAGCTCCTATACGGCGGTCTGGAGCAGCCCCGTGTCCCTGAAGATTTGCGACAAGGTTACTGGGTAGCGCCCACGATCTTCACAGACTGCACGGATGACATGAAGATTGTTCAGGAAGAGATTTTCGGCCCGGTGATGTCGATCCTTACGTACGATACGGTTGAGGAGGCTGTAAGGAGGGCCAACGACACGCCACTGGGCCTGGCGGCTGGCGTCTTTTCACAGAATCTCAATATGGCGCATAGAGTGATTGCGCAGCTAGAGGCAGGGATTACATGGATTAACTCGTGGGGAGAAAGCCCGGCAGAGATGAGTGTTGGGGGCTGGAAACAGAGCGGTGTTGGAGTTGAAAATGGGCGGCGAGGGATTGAGGCATGGGTGAAGAATAAGAGTACGCTTGTTGACATGAGCGGTGGGGTTGCGACCGCATTTACGAAATTGTGAGTGTAGTGAAGGCGCATTTGGCACTGAAACTCTAAATTGAGTATTAACAAACGTGCTTCTTGGTATTCTAAATTCTAAATATATGTAGATATAAAATAAAATTAAATAATTCGAAACACGCCTAAACAAAAGCACACCTTCTCCCTCTCTTAATCTGTAGACGCTGGGATTTTGCCGAGTAACTACTTGATTCTGATCTTGTGTACTTGAAACTAGTAAATTTATAGATACATGAAAATATTTTTTTAGGTTGATAAACACAGAAGACCAAGGGCAAGCAACATAGTCACAACATAGTCATACATACTATAAATGCATATAGAATGGAGGAGGAAATGTAAGTATTCGAAAAGGGGACTTGACCAAAGGGGGAGGGCGCATTCCGCAGGAAAGAAGGGAAAAGGAAAATATAGAGGAAAAGAAGACAAGAGGAAAAGACCCGGAAAATGAGGATATTTAGAGAGGCGAAATAGAAAAATAATAACATGCACGAAGCTGTGCAAAGAAAGAAAACATAAGTGGGTACTGAACTGGGATTTTTTTTTTTTTTTTTTTTTTTTTTTTTTTTTTTTTTTTTTTGGCAATGAAACAAGATGTCCTCTCTCAAGTGAAGAAATGAAAAATATAAAGGATTCCAAATGACGGCATTATTGAGCAGATATTCCTTGAAGAGCACTTCATGTCGATATTGAGGTTGGTTGGTTTGAAGCTCCCTGTCAATAGGGGAGGGAGATCTTTTCCAATGGTTTGCGTAAAATAGCCTCCCCACCACCGCCACTTATACTTCATCAATTCTCGACCCCATCCGATCAAAAACCAAATCCGCCGCAATCATCGTCTCATCAAGTCCTGCGATTGAAGAATCTTTAAGGCGAGATGACATGCTGTCTGGAGTCAGCTCGTCCAACTCCTCTTCCCCGCCACCATTCGCAGTTCGTGGGTGGAAGCCGGATGTGTCGATTGTGAGCTTGCTGTCCTTCACGGGCGTTGCGCCATCGTTTGCACCGGGGGAGAGAGGCGGAGTAATGACTGGTGGCCTATATTGTTTTGTGCGATGGACCAATGGGGGACCCTGAGTCCGCGCATCGGTGCCGGCTTGCTCAATGCTGACGAAATACTGGAAAAAAGGGGAGATGTCAAATTAGAAATGATGTTCATCAAGAGGCGCATTGGAAATGTGTATGACATACCTTGACAGTCTTCACCTTCAACTCCAACGTCGCATCCTCATCTGCAACAATGAGAGGATGTGGATGTAGCTGGAGCGCGGACAGCGTCCACATGTGATTGACGCCGCTTTCCAGGCCCATTTGCAACGCGGTAGCCTTATGCGCGCCTGTCGCGACAATCACCACCTCCCGCGCATCCAAGATCGTTTGGATACCCACTGTCATCGACTGGCGCGGCACTTTGGACATATCGTTGTCGAAAAAGCGCGAGTTGGCCAGAATAGTGTCATAGGCGAGTGTCTTGACACGCGTGCGCGAGCGGAGACTGCTACCCGGTTCGTTGAAAGCAATGTGCCCGTCCGCGCCAACGCCACCGAGGAATAGATCTATGCCGCCCACCTCTAGGATTTTAGCTTCATAGTCCGCGCATTCTTTTATCGGGTCGGCGGCATTGCCGTTTAGAATGTTTATGTTTTTTGGCAGGATGTCGACGTGCGAGAAGAAGTGTTTGTACATGAAGCTGTGGTAGCTTTGGGGGTGATCGCGGGGAAGCCCGACATACTCGTCCTGTGGGTAGAAAAGAAATGTTAACGACCATTTTTTCCGCGGTTTCTCTGCCGTTTCTTTCTTGATAGCTGGAGGATATTTGGCATGATAGGTCCTTTCTCCGAGTCCTTCCAGACTACTTTAGGCAACGGCAGCGGATGAGGTTTTATCTACCATGTTGAAAGTGATGACATGTCTGAAGGATATGTCGCCAGCTTTATATCGCTGGACTAGAATACGATAAACGGTCTGTGGGCTACTTCCGGTTGGTAAGCCCAGGACGAAGGGCTTATCTTCTGAGGGAGCGAATTGCTTGATACGGCCTACATGACGAGACAACACATGCACCAGTTAAAAAAGCGCTCTATGGGTCATGGAGTGAGAATGGGATGGAGGAGACGTCAACTGCAACGGGAATGAAGGATAGAGCAATGTATATTCTCTCGGTGTTCCTCACAGCAGACACCCTTTTTCAAAGGATCTGGCAAGGATGGCATATGGAGAGATAAAAAAGGGCCAAAAGCAAGAGGGGCAATCGTATGCATGCATAGGACATACTGATGATATAGTCCGCAATGTATTCAGAGACTCTCTGCGGATCTTTTCTAATAATTACCCGCCTTTTGCTGGTATGTTAGCTAAGATATATCTTGGAAGAGTCGTAAGAGCAAAGGGCAGAAGCGCAGGGGTGTTTTCTTACATTATTATGCTTGATGTGGTTGATATGTCAGATATAGAGATAGATGGGTAATAGGTATGAGGATTTGAGTTTCAACAAATCGTCATCGAGATAGTTGGAGTAGAGGAGGAGCAACTGGTAGCAACAAAGGTAGATGATATATTTTAGTACCAGCCAGCAGGAGTGAGTCTATATTCACTCGTTTTAATAATAATAAAGGAGCGAATTAGCAGGAGATTGAAGAACGAGGGAACAAAGCAAACTAGATAGATCCTCGTAATTTCAAAGTTGTCTTAATAACCACTTTTTGCCCTCGCTCAACGCTGCTAGGTGGGCATCATCATCCATCCCGACATCATAACTTTGGGAGAGGTTAACCCTATCAGACCCACGCAACCTAGATGGTGCATTCCTCAAGCACGATTCATTCATAAGCTACTGGCTACTGGACAGAACAGCCAGAGAGGCGCCAAAGGCTCAAAATGACATCCCTCATCAAAAAATCGCATGCATGGCTGTTGCAACAGAAGGAGTAACATTAGGAGGTGACATAGCAAAACCTGTCTCCTCCATCACTAACAGCTATGTCCCCATTTATTTAAAGGAATCCACTGCGCAATCGAGTGATTTTATCATGGATCCCTCTCCGCCATACCGAAGATAATTCACCTTGTGCATGAGATGTTGAGCGATCATTTGCCATGTCAGTTTTTGCGCATTCTTCTGAAACCAAATGCCTTAACTTTGCCTCCAACTTCGGGCTTCCCGTTGGTTAGAAGAAAATAGGTAAATAAATAGGGGGGAGGGGGGGGGCAATGCCTCTTCGGGAGATGGTCAGATACCCGGCCCCAACAGGTCCGTCCATCTCAGGCTGGCTTGACACCAATGTAACGGTTGTAGTGGATAATGAATAAAATCAAGGTTATTCAGCCTTGGCCTTGGGGATGGTCTCAGGCTTCTCTTTTTTTGCCCTTCCAAAACGTTCATCAACTTCCCGGGTGATATATGCTGACTCAACCAGCCAGAAGCTTCTCTCTTGTTTTCTTACTGTGCTCCAGAAGTTCATATTTATTAATGGTGAAAAAGGCTCCGGAGTTTCCAAGGTTGGTTCCAAAGGTCAGACAGAGATTTCTCTGCCGTTTCCGGGAAAGCTCAACGGGATGCATCCGTGCTTGGGGATCGGTTCCAAGGTTTAAATGTAGGCAGGGCCGCAGGGCCGCAGGGGGTGCCTGGTTCGCCCCCACAGAGCAGTATTTGTACATGTACATGTACTACTCTACTCCGTACAGAGTATATAACTACACATACGGAGTACTGTACTTAGTACTACTGCACATACATACCACAGCGTAGTAGTTTGCCCTATGGAATGGATCTGGGGAGCTGAACCCTTCGTGGGGGTGCAACGATTATGCAAGTTCGATCGGCACCTCAAGATACTGACTGACTTGGATTAAGTTCCCAAGACTCTAGCTGTCGTTGTGGCTTCTCGGATAGGGGAATTATTCGGGCGGCATATTTACGCCGTAGCTCTCCCCCCCTCCCTCCGGTGTGTGTGTGTGATAGAATAATCGCTGTCCCGAGGTCCGTAGTTAGGCGCTGGCGGCTTCTCAATTTCTCTGGGCGCGGCTACTCCCCCCAACCCGGTACGCACGCGTTAAGCGTCCTCCCCTTCTCCCCCCCTAAGATGTTCCTCCGCAACCGGCGATTCGGCGAACAGCTCCATCCAACTGGAAGCGCTAAATATTACGTGCTTCCTCCCGCTCGCTTGAGAATCGAGATCAGGCTTGTTCCCAGGCTTTGGTTGACTAAGCCACGGATGGAATTAGCTGAGGCTCTCCAAGACCTGCTTAAGCCCGATCGGTCACGGCAAGCTCTGGATTAGACCCCGTCCGCGCCACCACGCTGCGCTGCCAACTGCTACTCAACTGAACTGTGCTGCGACTCAGCGCCGATGACTGTGACCGTAACAGCAGCTTTTTTTTTCATAACCTCTGGTTCTCTCCGCCGTTGCTTCTCGACTAACGCGACTGAGCTGTCATCTGCTGGTGTTAGCTGACCCCGTCCTGAACCCAGCCGCCCGATTCGTATCGGCATCGCGACCAGCTCGCTGTTGCTCGGCAAAAATACTCGACCGTCACGTCACGGGTGTACCCTCAAACCTTCGCGAGCTCGTAACGTGTTGCCGGGCGATTAACCGGTTATTCTTACTGAGTTGGGCTTTGTTAGGGGGAGAGGAAGGGTGTTAGCAAGATATCGTGGGCTCCGTGCGTTGCCCATGGATTCCGTGGACGCCTTGGATACCGAGCTCTCCCCCGAGTGGGAGAGCTTCGACAGGTAAGGCAATGTGTTTCTGTCGCTGGTGCCCCCCCACATGTTTCTTCTGCCTTTCTCATAGCACAATAGCCCTCCACCCTGCTGTATGCAAAACGATTGATTGATTGATTGATTGATTGTTGCTTGATGTATGTAGATATCATGCATACATGATGGAGCTCAGGGAGAGCTATGCCTACCCTCCTGCCCTTCCCACATGTAACCCTTGCAATTCAACGGGGAGACCTGTTAGGGTAAAATCTCACTCTGCCCATAGCTCATCTGCAACCCGTCTGACGTTTTTTCTTTCTTTTTTTTTTTTTCGGTTTCTGCCCCTGAACATCCTCTCTAATTTTAACTCTCTGTTACGGTGCATCATACCTTGAAATGAAGACAACGTGCTTGAACTAACGGGATACTTCGCTACAATGCGTTACTTCGATTATAGGCAGATGGGCCAGCTCTTTCTCATGGGCTTCGATGGAACTGGTGTCAATTCGGAAATACGCACGTTGATAGAGGACTATCATCTAGGCTCTATCATATTGACCGCTAAGAACCTGAAATGTGTAGACCCTTTTCCCTTCCATTTTTCTTTATTTTCAACTACCATTTCTATTCTTCCATTGCCATGCACTTGACTCTTCCTCCCATCTTGATCTCGACTTGCGTGTGGGGAGGAGATCAACGTAGTTGGTCGCCGTCTTCCCCATCCACTTAGAGTTGGAGGAAGCTTGCAAAAACTTCACATAATTTAAACGACATCAGAGGCTGATGTGTCAATATAGCGGCGGAAGAAACCACCAAGCTCGTCTATGAACTTCAATCCATCGCCCGGAATGCTGGCCATCCGGTCCCCTTGATGATCTGTCTCGACCAGGAAAATGGTGGCGTTAACAGTCTATTCGATGAGATATATATACGCCAATTCCCCAGCTCCATGGGGATGGCCGCGACAGGTTCGAAATCCCTAGTTAGAGAAGTCTCAAAGGCCACTGCCCAAGAACTGAGCGCCGTTGGCGTCAACTGGATCCTGGGCCCTGTACTAGATGCATTAACGAACGCTAGAAACCAGCCCCTTGGCGTCCGAAGCGTGGGGGATGATCCACAAGAGGTGTCTGCGTATGGCATCGAGTTTATGAAGGGCTATCAAGATGCAGGCTTGGTGACTTGTGGCAAGCATTTCCCCTCATATGGTAATCTAGACTATATGGGTTCCCAGTCTGATGTTCCCATCATCACCGATACGATCGAGCAACTTAGTGTGAGCGCACTGGTTCCTTATCGGAATGCAATAACGCATGGCATAGATTCAATGATGGTAGGAGGATGTTCCATGACAGCAGGTGGAATGACTGTCATGCACGCTTGTTTATCGGAACAGGTCGTTGACGAACTCTTGCGGAAAGACCTAAAATTCGAGGGTGTGGTCGTTTCAGAATGCCTTGAGATGGGAGCACTCAGTCACAACATAGGTGTTGGCGGTGGCACGGTGATGGCCATGAAAGCTGGCTGTGACCTAATCCTGCTCTGTCGAACCTTCGCCGTGCAGCAGGAAGCAATTAATGGATTGAAGCTGGGAGTAGAAAACGGCATCATTAGTAAAAGCCGCATACGTGAGTCACTACGAAGAGTTCTAGATATGAAATCGAGATGCACTTCGTGGGAAAAGGCTTTGAATCCACAAGGACTTAGCCTTTTATCGAAAATGCAGCCGTCCCATACCAGCCTATCGACCAAAGCGTATAGCAGCTCGCTCACCGTTGTTAGAGACAAGCACAATTATCTTCCCTTAAGTAGCATTCTCGAACCAGACGAAGAACTTCTGCTCCTCACACCACTGATAAAGCCTCTACCAGCATCAGCAATGCTACTGTCAGTGGCTACTGAATCGGGTCGTGCAGGTTTATCAGCAGATGCCGCTTCGTGGGAGCGCAGTGCGTCTGTTATGAGCGGCGAGAGTGTTTTCAAAGAGTTTGGACGATCATTATCTCGACAAAGGAACGGGCGTGTTTTGCATACCTCCTACACAGCCAACGGCGTCCGACCGGTCCACGAAAATTTAATCAATCGCGCGAGCGCTGTCATTATTGTTACCGCTGACGCCAACAGAAATTTGTACCAAATGGGATTCACGAAGCACGTTTCACTAATGTGCAATTCCCAATTTTCTCCTAACGGCGAGCGTCGCGCGAAACCCGTAATCGTTGTAGCTGTCAGCTCACCATATGATTTCGCCACGGATCTATCAATAGGGACATATATCTGCACCTATGATTTTACTGAAACAGCATTACAGGCCCTAGTAAAGATCCTTTACGGAGAACTGAATCCCACCGGCTCGCTCCCTGGCTCACTCAGCCGCAACCAGAGACTCCAACAATCAAGGCAACACTGGTTAGTGGAGAACTGGAATGAGGATCGGGATGCACATGCCTTGGATACTCTCCTAGATATTGTCCGAGAAGGTAGTGCCCAGGGCCAAAGATCTGAACTTGCCAGCGTCACCTCCACCACCTTCCTTCTTCGCAATAGTGACGTGGAAGAGTCACACTTCGTCGTTAGAAATAGCAGTACACAAGCACTCTATGGATTCTGCTCAACATATTACTTCAAATCCACAGGAACGGGCGCTGTCGGCGCAATCATTGTCGACCCTTCTCGCCGAAGAATGTCCATCGGCCATTCACTTCATAACCGCGCAATTCGGACACTGGTTCAACGTCCAGGTATCCGTAGCTTCCAGCTTGGCTCCCGTTTGCCAGGCATTTATCTCGGAATCCCTAAGGGAAATCCCACAGAGCGCAAGAAGCTTCGGTCGTGGTTTGTTAATCTGGGATGGAACACGGCCCTATCGCGTTCCGTATGCAGCATGGTCTTACGAAATCTCGAAAACTGGTCGCCGCCAGAAGGACTGACGAAAGTTTTGCAGAGCTCAGAGGTTGATTACGATCTTGTTTATGGGTGGGAATACGCGGACTCTGTTCTTGATCATGTTAAAACTACATCGCGCGTGGGGGTCATGGAGATCTATAAAAGGGGACTGGGCGGTGCGCCCGGTAGTGGTATTATTCGCGCTAAACGCCGCGATGATGGGACTATACTAGGCACTGTGGTAGTGTATAATTCCTCGTCCGCGCTAGCGGAATCTATGCCTGCGCTTAAGGACACGCGCACAGTTGCGGGGGGGATTTCTTGTCCGGTGATCTCTCCCTCCGTAGGGGAGTATGCCACGCTTGTGCAGGGATTGATCTTGTTGGGAATCAAGCAAATTCGGAAGCAGGGGGCTAGTGCAGCTATATTAGATTGTGTACGTGCAACTACCCTTCTCTCTCTCTTCCTCCTGCTCCCTCATCTTCGTCTCCATTTGTTATACACCCCGACTACCCCATGCAAGGTAGCACCACGTGGAGATCCGGTGCTAGCCCCTTACGGGCTACGGGCTGGTTTAAATGTGAAGAAAAGAAAAGACACATTATTGTCCCGAAAATTTAGTACCAGGCTAACGAAACTCTTCTTCATACAACAATAGGTCGATGCTGACGGAAACTATGACAGTCTCTCTTCCATGGGGTTTTCCGTTCTGCATAGTTTCGAGGAAGTCACTTGCGATGCCTCCACCTGGAATATCATGGTTACTTCATGAAATTCATGAACTGCATGACATGACGAGTTTTATCTTCACGACACTGGTTCGATCCTCTTGATGCCTGATTTGGGCTCATCGTAATGACCTCTGGACCACAATTTCAATCGTCTTCTTCTTGTCCCTCTTCTTCATTTTTCATTTTGTATTTTCCTTTCTTACTTCTCCCGTCCCTTTGACTGCTGAAAATTTGATTTTTCCAAGAATTTTCACGGCTGTATCGATATTATACATTAACGCATGGTCCCATGGCCTTAGCTTCACTAGCCCTTCTCACTCAGTAGAGTGGAGTAGAGCAGAGCAGGGCAGACACTATCCCATCATGACTCTGTGCAGCAAAACTCTTCGCCCTGCGAGATGAGATGCTATTCAGTATCAAATCCAGTAGCATTTTTCAGGATAATGGACATATCCTTTGTTTCATCTTTTGTCTATAACCCTCTCAATACCCTGGGATATTTCACTTTAATTCGGCCCCTTAGCCCTTGTCACTTATCACTTATTGTTCCCAGTACATTAATTCTGTCTTAGTGCTTTCTCTTCCTACCAGTTTCTCAGGGGTGAATATTACTTTGTTTCTCCCTTGTCTTCACTCTTGTTAGCTCCCACGTCATCACCGCGCCCTGATTTTCCATGTTCAACATGGTCACATCTCTCGTTATTGTTTTATTTCAAAGGGTTTCAAGGGTTCCCTTCTGTGTTATATAGAGGGACTTTGGGGTTAGCATCTAGGATTTTCTTTTTCTTTTTGTTTTTTTTGCTTTTTTTCTTAAAATACTTTTTCTTCTTGTTCCCTTTATTTTCATATACTGTATATACCCTGTTGAGATTGGCTTTACAAGAATCATATATATTGATTTGCAATGTTTGTTTCTGTGTGTCGGTAAAGGCGGCAATGAATATGACTTTCAAAATACATATATAACTATATTTGTATTATTACACTCATAAGTTTACACCATGTCTCCAGAGATACACAATTACCAAAAAAAATTAACAAATTTATATTATCAATTTCCTATATGCTTAGAGCATGTACGGGTAGTATTGTCCAATGATGTTACATACACGCTTGTTGGATTACGTTAGTTAACTTAGTTGCTTAATCAGCATCCCGACCTCATCCAGTTCAGGCAACTCTGACAACAGCGTTTGACACGAAAGCTTGACTCTTAACGGTATGGCGGACGGAGTTGAAAGTGAAGTCCAGCGCGCATTTATTGTTGGCTATGCTACATGAGGCGTCGTTCTGACGTGTCTTCGGGTCGCCTCAAAAGACACTTCCTTCATCAGCAGCGTTACTACATCCAATGACCCGCGCCGAAGAAATAATAGGTTCCATCGCTGCTGGCGGCCGCCGGCTATCCCATCCCATCCCTGCGAACACAACATGGGTCCTCAAACCGAGCTACGATCTCCCGACGATTTGAACATGGATGGAAAACCCTGTTAGCGTCCACTTCCATGGACGTCATCTAGTAAAATTGGGGTCAATTGGGGTCAATTGGGCGCAGTTGAACCACTAAAAATTTACCGGCGGCTACCCCACGATCAAGATTGCTGCCGCTCTGACTACGTGGTACTTGTCCTTTATTGTGTCTGCCGTCCAGATGGGTGGGAAATACGCGTTGTCAATATCTGACTCACCGCTGCCTGAAACGGGTTTGTTGGCTGTTCATGCCTATATGCGTTTCGGGAGGGTAGATGGATGCCAACTTAAAACCACTTTCATCGTTGTACCGACCAAATTCTCAACTATCTCATTGACGCTGCACGAGGGGATAAGATAAATTTGAAACATGTTCGGAAGGAAAATAGGGGAACCAAAAGCAGCCATGCTTTTCCCCAGAGGCTGGGAATCATATTTCAGGAGCCCACTATCTATTAGTTACCCGTCAATGGTAACCTTTGTCATCGGTGCAAATATTTTTTACAAAGCACTCGCTCCTATCTACCGAAGAAGGGAAGCCTTTTGTGCTTTGCTTCACACATCATCCGATAAGCCTACCATATGCAACGAATCTTTCCATAGCCTTGCTTCATTTTCAGGACTGTATGTGTAGCTCATAGCTATTGCACTCCACGAATCCATATCATCCTCCCGGGCATCGCTTCGGAACAATCAGACAGGTATCTCCAACCCCTACCCTCCCATTCCTTACCAGTCGCAGCCCAAATGGAGGTAGCAGCACCTTGCTCCGGGCTTTTGAAGATTTTGATCAAACCTTGGTTCTGATGCAAATTTTGCAGGTACTCTGCAGGAAGGTGTCGTCCCAGCCCAGTGGCGATCCCACCCGGATGAACGTTCGTTGCATGCAGCCCCAGCGATCCGAAACAACGTTCAATTTCATTGGCCATGTATATGTTCGCCGTTTTGGATTGCGCGTATGCGAGGGACGGGTTGTAATCCCCTTTCTGATAGTGCCAGTTGTTGGAAGGGTTGATACCGCCTAGCCTGTGTCCCGAAGATGCCAAGCTGACCACGCGAGACTGGAATTCTGGGCTAGTTCCAGCTAGTATCGCAGATTTCAACAATTGAAAGAGGAAATGAGACAAGTGGTTGGTAGCGAATTGAGATTCGTAGCTGTCAACCGTGAGTTTGGAGATCTGGCACCGCCATGATGCCGGCGTCGTTGATAAGAATGTTCACCCTGTCTGTCTTTGCCAGGATCGACTTTGGTGCATTGCGGACTCTCTCCAATGAGGCCTGGTCCATCACGACTAGCTGCATTGTATCGGGGTTATATCGGGGTTAAAATATATCACCGAGAGCCGTTTTCTCTTTGCCCAAATCTCTTGTAGGGAGGTAGAGAGTTGCTCCTGTTGCTGCCATTGCACGAACGGTTTCAACACCAAGGCCAGACGAAACACCCGTGATTACAACTACCTTTCTATCAAGCCTGCCTGCCATGTTTTCATCTTCAACGATTTGTAGGGCCGTTGGGCGTGAGTCGCCAACTCCTTGAGGGTTCGCATGAACTGCGGCATATCGAGACATTGTGTAGAGAAATAGTTGCGAGGGGATCTGAATCAGATAAATTGTTCATAGATGGACTGGTCAATGAATTCCTTCAAGACGGAATCGAAGCCTTTGATCCTGCCAAATGACTTTAGGCTGCAATCAACCCTCACTCACCATGTCATTTTTATTAGTGTCCGGTACTAATGCCGGATAGAGATAACTTTTGGCCTCCCCTGGAGATATCATGGATCGTTCATGACTACTTAATGATAGTTGCTTTTATAAGTCCCGCGCGGCCATTGCCCTGCTTGACCAGGACGCATCACTTACAGTCTCTCGACTGCCGACAGTGGCTCCAGTATCCTGGGGCATACAAGATCTCGGTGTTCGCGCGCGAGTCAGTGGAATGAGCAAACAGGAACGCTATCTAATGAGGTCTTTCGGGCTCCGCTGGACGGTCGCGTCGACATTGGAAATGCGCCAAGGAGCCAACGTCGGCGATAGCGAACAGGCAGATACTCTTAAAACCGCTCGGGCCAGTTAGCTCCCGCCAATATGAAACTCACAGCCTTCGTCACTTATTCCGATAAGCTCGATGAAGACGGAGCTAATTGCTGCATGGCTGGTTGGCAGCGTACGGACGTCCGCAGAACTAAACGGCGGATCTCAGTTCTAGCAAGCTAATAAGTAATTCCGGTTTCGGTCAGTTGCCAATGGTAGCGCACCCATACCTCTGAAGTGCCAACTGAGGATCCAGAAATCTTTCCGCGCCAGCAGGCGCACTTAAGAGCGTGTATGATATCTCCGCTTCCTCGTGTCCTCCCGTTAGTTTGAAAAGCGAAATATCTTTCCTTTTTTGCGTCACTCACCATGTGACTCTCATTTCCGCATAAAATCGATTAAAGCTTCCTGCGAGAAGGAGAAAGACTCTCAAAGCTCAGCTTAATCGATATATTTAACATTGTTGAACGATGATGTCAAAGTGGTTGCCAGCTGAAAATGTCCTCTCTGGTTGGATAGAAAGTGATTTGACCTTCCTGTATCGAGGAGCAACAAACCGCCAGTCAACTTCTCCCAGTATTTGCTACGAGTTACTCTGGTAAATTGGGAGCTCGTAAAATGACTTTTTCTAACAATCAAGCCCTCGTCACCTTGTTCGAGAAGGGATCAATCGTCCAATATTCACTGCCAGCCTGTCCAGCTGGCGGCTAACGCAATGTCTGACGCGAACGATGATCTGACTCGGGTCTGCAGCCAGATTGGTTAGTTAGACAGACAAAATCAACCGAGCTGTTGGGCGATGAAAGTTTAGGTAAGGGTTACTTAGTCCTTCTCGTCGAGGCCGTGATTGCAGGGTAGCCTTGATAACATACCCCTGAGACTCGCTGAGGAAACGAGGCTTTGATCTGGAAATAGTCATGAATGGCCGCCAATATTTCGGCAATGTCGAAGCGGGTGCCATGATCTCTTTTACCTTTTTTGGTCCTCCTCTCTTCACCTTTTGTCTTCAGACTGTTGTTGGATGCAAGTTCCAAAAACCCGATACCACGTGAATCTGACACCCTGGCTTGACAATCAGGGGAGAGAATTGTGACAGCGCAAGAGCACTCAGACAGCACGGGCTCTAGCGATTCACGAGAAGGTTGTTTGTAAAGGCGGAATGGAATTTGTGAGGAGACATTTTTTGACAGGCTGGGAACCAGCAGTGCTTGCTTCCCCTCTCTTTCTCTTCTCATGCCAGGCAGACTGCAATGACAAACATTAATATCAGCTTTGACGTGTGTTGAGAATTATGCCTGTAAGCGCATCTCTGTGAACGGCAATGGAGGGAGCATGCTGGGGTACCTGTCTTTCCCCGCGGACACGACTAGCCAGACCGACCCCTGTTCTGTTTTGTTCTGGATCACCCACATGGGCACACGGTTCTCAAGACTTGCGGACAGCTGACCTTCCGTAAAATTTACTCGTGCTGGAGCCTGGATATGCTATCCACTCTCGGTTATTGAAGGCAACACCAAGCGCGGAATTATACGATGATGAACTTCTGGACATCGGTAACGTGCCTGATTTTGTTAGAAGAGGGCAGCTCGCAAGGAAGAAGCGGACTATTAAGTGCAGGGATAGATGCCAAGGGGATGAGAAGAGAACTAACTTCTAGGCAGCGTACTGAACATGGTAATTCTAGCATCTTGCCCTGGTGAAGATCAGGAAAATATGCAGAGAAATGACCTGATGTTCAAACCAACAAGAAGGTACGACAACCCCGTGTCGCTTCACGCCTCATGCGGGGAGATTCCGCTCAGGTTGCGTTTACACAATGCAAACTAGTCTTGCATTCGGAAGAACAGCCTATCAAATACAATTACTGCTAGGGCGCCTACGCTGCCTTTCCGCTTCCTCTCGCGATGCTATTGGTGTCAGTGAAGCTCTCCTGGTGTTATTCTCTAAAAAAAAGAACTAATGTAATGTAATCAACCACCCAACGCCCGTGTACACCCAACGCCCGCCCAATCTTCATTTTTTCATTCATCTTCAAACACTCACAACATGCATCATGAAGCAGTTATATAAGCAGTAATTGATGATTTGAATGCACAATTGATCCCTAATTACACTGAGACTGCTAAAAAATATGAAATCAGTTAATATATATTATCACAGCAGTATAGAGATGTTCAAATATCAAGAAAGAAAGCAAGCTTTATTCACTGTAAAAATCTCACAGATTTGTAAGAAGAACAGCTTCTTTTTCATATCAATTAATTAACAGATTACAGTTGTCTTATACATCTCAAATTCTTTATAATCTCATTATTAAGATTCTAAAAGCATCTATTAAAATTAACTAAATATCATAATTCTACTAGTACTATAAGAATATAATCAAGTGACTCTATCTTTGAAATATCAATTAAAAGTACAAGATTGTAAATAATTTAATATATTTTAAGTATTATTTTAATCTTATAATAGATTTCTTTCTTCTACTAATTTTTTACTTCTTACTAATTAATTTATAGCTATAGATAAAAATCACTTAATATAATATTAAATCTATAAATATTTATAACTTTAATAAGAAAGAATTTCTATTAAAACTTATTCATACTCTTAAATATATGATATTAATTACTTTATTTAAATTAGATTATATAATAAATATCAGTTAGAATAATAGTCAAGAATTTATAATACTAGTTATTTTAATTTATATAGATAAAACTTCACTCTTATCTACTCTTATATATTAAGAAGAATTAAGAGATATATAAGATACTTAACTGAAGAATTTTAATAATGAAAAGAATTAAATTTACTTTATTACTTCAGTAAATAAATAAAGTAATAATAAATATAAATTAATATAATTAAAGAAGATCTTTGAATCTCTTATAAAAAAGAAAATAAAATATAAATATAAACTTTTTATATTGAATAGTTACTTCTTTTATATTAATATAATATTTATTAATTATATAGATTATTATTAAATTTTATTTACTATCTTTTCTTCTTATTCTATACACTGATTACAGTTACTAAATGTTGAAATATTTGAAATATTAAGTAAATTATACTTTAATTAACTGAATAAATAAATAAGAACTGAAATAAGATTTATATATACTTGTAACATGGCGGAACCGAAGCAGTGACTAGTTAACAGTGTCATGTAGAAGTAGTTATTTGAGAAGCTGTATAAGTGAGCTTGACTATCTTGCTTAAATAGTGAGCTTGTAGGCTACAAGGTTATTGTGAGAATATCACAGATATGATACTTAGTATACTAAGAAGATTGTATGAGACACACAGTAACTCTTGTATATATTTCAGTAGAAGAAAAAGACAAATCACTGACTTCTTTAATAAGAAGTCAGCATCTAGTTATTCTATATAGATAATGAGCAGATACTCTTCTCTCATTTCATAAGTAAGAATAGTCAGAGTGATATCTCAGCAGCATCTCATTATCAAGAAAGAGTAATCTACTGATCTCATATAGAAGTGAGATTCTTATATTTATCAATCAGATCTTTCTATGATACATCTGCATGATATTATAGAGTAATTGAAAACTAGTTCAGACAGAATGAAATCATCTACATGAAAGTGATAAGTCATGTGAAACTGCAACAGAGTCTTAACACAGCTGAGAGTGTGATAATATTCTTCTCTTTAAGAGTATAGTCTCTATACTCTCAAGATTATCAGATTAGAAATTATCTTTGTTATATAGCAATAGTTATTAATCAATTGACAGTGCATGTGCTGTATATAATATAAAGAAATAGATGAGTTTTTCTACTGACTGCATAGATCTTTCTTTTCTCATTATTATTCAAATTAAACATGTGATAAGTGAGTTTCTTATATATCAATTTAAAATGTGAAAAACATAGTTAACAAGTAACTTACAGATCTCTTAATATATTTTATTCTATATATGAAATTCTCTGCAAAAGTAATGTGTTTTAGAGATAAAGCTAACAGTAGTGACAGAATTTTTTAAAAAGATTCTTCTTCTCATGAAATATTTTTCTTCTCTCTCTCTCAATTGCAACAGTGAGTGCATGAGAGTATCATTCTTGAAGAATAATTAAGAACTTATTCTGACATTTTCTAGTAAGTAATAAACATCTTCATGATGCAGTGATGACCTTCATGACTGTTAAGAAAGTCAGATTGAAGGCAGAGACAGTAGTGTCAATAAGTCATGAGAGTACTACTCTCATTATCACATCTTCTTCTTCTTCTACTTCTTTTACAGCTGCAGCAGTAGTCACTGTGCCTTGCAGTGAGATGTCATCTCTTCTACCAGTTAGTTTATCTGTGTTCAGTTCATCTCTCATCTCTCTCACTACTGTTGCAATGCTGCCTCTCTCCTCAGTTAATACAGTGATGTATGACCTCATATAATCATTCAGAGAGAAACTCAGAGAGAGCTTGATTTCAGAAACAGTGACTTTAAGAAGCTTAATTCATAGTTTCTCTCTCACAGCATATCTGAGCCCTGCTCAGAATGCTGCTGAGTTGAGTCTGCAGAGTCTCACAGTTTCTTCATCTTCTCTCTGTAAGAAGGCTTCAGTGCAGTCTCTGATCAGCATCACTACTTGTCTACACTATGCTAAGCAGCTGAAGAAGAGAGAGATTCTGTACATCTGTTTCTTCTCTTACTTCTGTTATTTTCATTGCATCTGCAACAATAACTTCTATCTCTCTGTAAGTATTATCTACTCTACAAGAAGATGTTGTGTTAACTCTGACAAGAAGCTCAGATGCTCAAGCAGTACAGAGTAAGAGTCTCAGAGCTTCAAGTATTAATAGATTCTATTAAAACTGAGAAGATCCTTCTTACTCATCTGTAAAAGAAAATGAAAGTGTGAGTCTCTGAGATGAAAAAACATCTCAGAATAACTGATCTTAAGAAGAAATCAATCAGTACTGCTGTTGAAAGTGTCACAGAGATTAATCACTGATTGAAGAGAATCTCACTTCAACTGAAGTAGATGACTAAGATGCTTTATAAGTTAATAAGTTGATATTTTATGTATTTCTCATGTTCTTCTGCAGCACTGCAGTGCTAACTTCTCAGCAGACAAAGATGTCAGTGCTGAAGACTTCAACAGTGAAGAATGAGTTTAATGAAGATATAATTGTTAATAAGTAGGCTCTGAGATTCTCTCTTTTTACTTTTTTAACAGGCTGCAGCCTCATTAGATTAGCAGCAGCTCACAGATCAATTAATATTAATCTTTTTATTAATTTCAAATATCTCTTTCTTTTTCTTATTAATCACTTCAGGAATTTTACACTTGTGTAGTCTCATTAAACTTCTAAAAAATCCTTTGAGAGAAAATAGAAGAAGAGTGCTATAGAGTCTATAAGACATCAGCTCATCATTATAAGATTATCTTTAAAAAACTCTTTAAGAAAAATGAGAAGTCTTAAGCAGTATTTCTTACTCAACATCTCTGATGTGTAATAGAGCAGTCTCTACTAGTCATCTCATAGATTGTAATCTCTTTCTCAGTATTTTTCAAATGCTTAAGCAGTTCTCATGAATTCTCTGATAATGAATAATCTTCTTATTTAACAAGATATTAAAGCTTACTGTAATGTGTTTACTTATTCAATATTTTCTTCACAAGATATTCAGTATCATTCTCAATCTCAATATCATTCAGCCAAGACAGCTCTATCTCAGAGTGTTACTTATAGAGCTTCAAATAGAAAATATGAAAAACAGAATGAATTGATTTCAATTCTGTGAGTAATTTCAACTCATATATCTGCTTACTCATCACTCTTGTTACTGAGAAAGATTCTAGTCACTACTCACTGAGCTTCTTACACAGTCTCATTGTCTTGATATTCTTTACTGAAAGTAGCACTTGATTCTCTATTAAGAACTTCATTGAAAGATATTTTTAATTATAGTATTTCATCTACTACTTCTAAGTACAGTGAATGCTTTTCATCATCTTCTCATGAATTTTGTTCAAAAGTTTCAATCTCACTTTTACTTCTGATACTGAGAAATACTTCATTCTCTGTATCTGTTCAATATTCTGACTATCTATTTCTTTCTTTGAAATATTATCCGCAATGTCACTGAATAACAAAGAATTATATTTATAACAAGTATAGAAAGAAGATATCTTTAAGATTGTATTCTTTATATTATTATATATGAATTCAGTGATTAGAAGATGTTTGAGTCAATCATTCTGATAATATAAATAGAAGACTCAAAGATACTGTTCTAGTGTCTGATTCTGATGTTCAGTCTGATCATCAGTCTGCAGATGAAATGCAGTACTGAGAAGACATCTTATTATAAAATAATAGTAAAAAGCTGATCAGTATTTACTGATGAAGAGGAATTCTTAATCTGTTATCAATGATTTCAGAGCACTGTGATCATGAATAATAATATCTAAAAATAGATCAGTCAATTCAGAGGCTTTAAT